TCTCCAGCAGCCTCTGGACACGTCGGAGAAACGCCGAGCCCCTCCGAAACCTCAGAGACCTTCTCCCACTCTGCCTGGAGATCCAAAGGCCTTCCCCCAGAGCCTCCACGCCTTCCCCCTCCCATCTCCTTCCCTCCCCTCCATCCCGCCCCGAATGCAGCCATGGCGATGAGGGCCTTTCAAGATGCGCAGACAGGCCCAACAACATCAAGCACATTCCGCGCGGCCGATCGGATTCGATTCCGACTCCGCACCGATCCTATGCATGCTCAGACCCGAGCCGCGTTCGCGACTCGATCAGGGCCGCCTGGGCCTCACGGGATTCCGTCTTAGAGTGCATTCGCGTGCGCGAGCGTCTGGTAATTCATGGGGAAGCGCAGACCTTGCGTCGATTTGGCGTCGACTAGCGTCGATTCGCTTTGGTTAGCGCAGACTCGCGAGAGCCAGCACGATGGCATGGGAGGCTCCCGCGAGTCACTACAGAGGGGACGGCGTGGCGGGCTGGCGCCCCCGGAGCCGCGGCCCCCCACGCCGCCGCAGGTGGACGGCACCGTGGAGCCCATCGGCACGCACGTATTGGCGCGCCGGCTGGGGGGGGGGTCATTATCTGAGAAGCCGTGTGGCGCGCACGTGGTCCACGGGAGGGAGCTGGCGAGAGCGGCTGTGCTCTCGCGCCGCACTCTTGCAGACGCCTGCCGGCACGGCAGCAGCTTCTGACCGATTGAGAAGTCCCTGCGCACACCTGCATGCACACCGTGTGCACGTGCCTCGAGCGCCCACGCCTGTCTGGGGTGGCCGCGCCTGCTGGCCGGGGGGAGGCACCAGGTGTTGGGAGCCTTGCACGTCCTCGCAGGTCCGTCATTTGAGGGCATTCGCGTGGGCGGGCGTCTGGAAATCGGTGAGAAAGCGCCGATTCAGCGTCGGTGTGTAGCGTCGGGTCGTGCTGATTCGCAAGAGCCAGCCACATGACATGGGAGGCCCCCATGAGTTGCAACAGACGGATGAGGTTTTCGGTCGCCTTCGTGGGCTCCTGGAGGCTTTCCAGCCTCGGGAAGTTTTCCAGCAGCTGCACCTTGGACTGTGTATGCGGGGGGTGCCAGCATCGTCCTGAACAGCCACTGGAGTCCCGAGTTTAGTATCGAAAGGCAGCCCTCCAGCGTACTGCAAACATTCAGCGCGGAGGTGTTCCTCCTTCTTCGGCCTCGTGGGGCCCTCGCGCAGCACCAGGACCGTCTGAAAGCGACTCAGGGCGGAGAGCCAGCCCTGGGGAACGAGTCGGGATTTCCCGAGGGCTCGAAGTTGCAAGTGACTACGTCAGATCTCTGGGGATGGAGGGATGCAGGTACGGCGTGCGAGGATTACTGGGTGCTTTGGTGTTCGTCGTCCCCTTGGGGGTGCTCGTCGCCACGTCAAGGGTCCAGTTTGGACCCCGTGCAGAACTTGCACGAGGATGGGCCCAGGAGGAGGCATGCATGCCACGAAATAAGGATGGATCGCTCAAGGGCATTCTCGGAGACAGAGCGTTCGGGGGTGTTTTGGAGAGCGGCCGTGGCACCTGACGTATCCTCCATAACCCGCCAGCTTTCGGCTATCCCTAATCCATCCCGTCTTGTTTTTGGTGTTCGCATCCAGTGGTTTGCGGCAAGTTCCGCCATCGAGCCAACACAGCACTCTGAGCGGCGACATATCAAGCACCGTCCAGAGCCCAGAACGTGCGACACCCCTCGTCTCTATTCTTTGAGGGGCTCTCATGGTGCCTACCACGGCCGTCCTAGGGTTGTCTTGGGCTCTTGTGGAGCAGCATTCGTCTGGTGAGCATCTTGAGGCCTATGGACGCCATCTTGTGCCTCTTGGTCTGTGTCGAGCTCTTCCTGGATCGTTTCAGGGCCCCCTTGGGGCTGTCATGGGCCGTGAGGGGAGGTTATTACGGGTCCTCATGGGTCTCGTTTGGCTTCTCGCGGTCTCCGTATTCGACCTGTTGAGACAATATTGCGGCGATCATTGATCCCGGGGAACGGAGCATGCTTATGCACATAACGAGTGTTTTAGGTGTGATACTGGTTTCTGCGAGTCCGGATGGCCCGTTTGCCTTCCTTGTGGTTTCTCGGAAGCCACTTGACGCGTACCAATTGGAGTTGGTCGGAGCCTCTGGAGGTACTCCAGATTTCGTAATAAAGGGAGGGCGGTCTCATTTCGGGGGGGGTCTCTTCCAGGCTATCTTGGAGGGCCTGGGGGGGTCTGGGGACGATGTTTTGGAGGGTTCTCCCACGGGGGAGGTCTGAAATGGCTTGTCTTGGAGGGTCCAGACCCCCTCCCTTCTATTACAAACTCTGGAGTACCAATTGGAGTTGGTTGGAGCCTCTGGAGGTAGCCTTGGGCCCTGCTGGCTGCCTTGGGCGCCCTGCTGGGCCATCCCGGCGGTCTCGGAGAGCCTTGAGGGCCACAGGGGGAGAGGTGTCGGGGGCCGCCCAGGGAGCCCCGAGAGGGCGTGCGGCGCTGCTCGGCCCCGGGGGGGGGGAGTGATCGGTAGTCCCCCAGCGTGGTGGTGACAACACCTGGCGGTGAGTCTCGGGCGATTTGGTGTCCTCCTCCTCCTCCTCCTCCTCCTCCTCCTCCTCCTCCTCCTCCTCCTCCTCCTCCTCCTCCCCTCCTCCTCCTCCCCCCCCCCTCCCCCTCCCCCCTCCCCCTCCCCCTCCCCCTCCTCCTCCTCCTCCTCCTCCTCCTCCTCCTCCTCCTCCTCCTCCTCCTCCTCCTCCTCACCACCACCCGGTTTGGGGACTCGTGCGGCTTTCCGAGGATGTCCCGAACGTTGGTGGGTCCAGGAGTCACAGAACCCGGTGGTGACCCCGTGTCCCCAAGCCCAGCGGTGACCTTTTCGGGGATTCCGGGTCGCCACCTGGTATCTCACCACCCTGTTTGGGGGGTTCCCAAGGATCGGGGGAGCGTAAGACCCGGGTTTGCCGGGACTCGGGTTCGCCATTGTTTTTTGACGACCGCGACTCGGATTTTGACGAGGAGGAGTTTTGTGGGATGTCTGCAGCGGGAGGCCTCGTCAAAATGCAGGCTCGGCCTCGTCATTTTTTTGACGACCTTGTCGGGGATTTCCGAGTCCCCCGTACCCGGGTCTTACGTCTCCCCGAAAGGAGTGGGCTTGGAAGACTCGGGGGAACCACACCAGGGGGCACCTGGCACTGCACCCAGGGGGGCACGGTGGCGGCTTGTGCCCCTCGGAGTGGAGAGGTGGAGGATGGGATGAGCTTACCCCCCTCCCCGGAGCTCCTGGGCCATCCCCTCTCTCTCTCTCTCTCCTCGGCCTCCCCTCCGCCTCCCTCTCCTCCCCTGCCCATGGCCAGGAGGGACGCTGGCGAGTGTGACCAGCAACTCAGGCTCTGTGATCCAGCCCATTGGCTCGCAAGCGCTCTTGTCCTTTCTCCTGCCCATCCTCCTCCGACTCATCCTCCTCGTACTTGTTCTCCTCGCCATCCATTCTTCCTCCGTCCTCTCCCTCCTCCGCCTTCGCCCCGTCGCCCTCTTCTTCTCCATCCCCCTCCCCCCCCCCCTCAGCCCTGGTTCTGGCAGCAGGGACCCTCGCCCGCGCGCGCCCGAGTAAACCCAGGTCGACCCTTCTGCCGCGGCGCGCCATGCAGACGCTGCCAGCAGCCCGGGCGTCCGTCCTGAGGTGCGCGTTCCCCCACCCCTATCCCCCTTCTCTTGTCTTCGTCGTCCTGCGTTTCATCCCGCCGTCCTGTTTCCCCTCCCCGCTTCGCCTGTTCCAGGGGTCGACCTAAACGATGTTGTTTGGCGATATCGTGGGCCGTTTGCGTTTCGATTTCGTCTTGCAGCAGCGGCGGATTGAAGACAACGCGAGGGACAACAATCACAACACGAAAACGAGAAGAAACACTGTTTAGGACGATCCCTTCGCCTTCCCGCCCGTCTCACCTCCCTCTCCCTCGGGCTCCTCGTCCCTACTCTATCTCGTCGTCATCCTCGCACTGCTCGACCTCGTCCTCCTCTTCCGCTTCGTTTCTCGTCCCTTCTCCTTGTCCGCGTTCGCCCTCATGCTCATTTGATACCCCCGTCTCTTTTTGATTGCCAGTTGGTGATTCTACATCCTTTATTGTTGTGTTTCCATCGCCTACGGTTTTATAAAACCATCACACCCATCTCATCATACCCCGTCATTCTTCATCACTCGTCCTTCCCCTGCCACTTCACATCCCTCCGCCTCCATCATATTATTCTGCTTATTATTACTTCATCCCGTTTCGTTAGCACACCGTCGTGTCCATTGGCCCCCAATTCCTTCCGAGGTATCATACAGCCTTGATTATCCTAGTCGTTCTCCCTCGTCTTCTCCTCTTCCCCCCTCATCCCCTCCCCACGCTTCCTTCTCCCTCCAATATCCTTTCATCGTCTATCTTCCCCCCAATCCTCCTGCTTCTCTTCCGTCCCCAAATCCTCCTGCTCCTCGTCCGTCCCTGTTCCCTAACTTCCGTTTTGGGCCGACGGTCGGACCTCAGGAAGCAGCTCGGGACGATTCCAGCATCCTCGGACTGCCCTCGATGAGGCGCGGTCGACGGACAGTGCCGGATAATGTTGACAGTTCTTCACCCGCCGCGTATCTCCCCCAGGCCGTTCAGAAACGCTGCCCATGAGAGCTGACCGGAAAGAGGGACGACGAGACACATGTGAAACAGCGCGGGCAACCGGGATGAATCTGGAGAAGTCTCTGGGAGCAGGGGTGTGGCCCGGGAGGGCCTCTTCGGGCCATCCCTGGGGCCCGCTGGGGGACGAGGGGAGGTGGGTGGAGGTGGGTGGAGGAGGAGGAGGAGGAGGAGGAGGAGGAGGAGGCAAACAGCCTCTTGGTGCCCTCGTGGGTTCACTCCTGGGGCGCTCTTGGGGGCTCTCGGAGCCGTCTTTGGGGCCCTCTTGGGAGCCCTGCCCTGGAGGGCCTCTCGAGGTCAGCTTGGAGGCGATCCGTCAGAAGGAGGAAGTTTCCTCGATTTCCCCCCCCCCCCCCCCCTGGGACTTCAAAGCCGCCTCTTGGGGCACTCTTGGGCAGATGCTTGGCGTCCTCGGGGCCGTTTGGAGGGCATCTTGGGCACCTCTCGGGGCTCTCTCCTGGGACATTGTTGCTGGGGGGACCTGAAGATCTTACAACGCATCGGAAGCAACAACACACGAAGGCGAACATCATTGATCTGCCTCAAGGTCTTGAATGATTCGGGCTTCTTTTTAGGGGGTCCTGGGGTGGCTCCGAGAGCACTTGCGATCGTCTCGGAGCTGTATTTGGGGACTCTGTGGAGAAAACTGGAAGCTATCTCGAGCCATCTTTGGCTATCCTGAGTCCTCTTGGAGGCCATCTTGGGAGCATCGGTCGCCCTTTTCGAGCCATCTTTGGCTATCTTTGAGTCCTCTTGGAGGCCATCTTGGGAGCATCGGGCGCCCTTTTCGAGCCATCCTGGGCGCCCTGACCGCTCGGGCCCCCGCCCCCCCCCCCCGAGGAGGGGAGGGGGGATGGGCAGGGCACTCCTCCCCCTCGGGAGAGGAGGGGTTGTGGAAGAATGGAAAAAGCAGGGCTGGTGGGAGTATTAAACCTCAGCGCTCGAGGAGCATTCGCAGCTCGTCCCAGCGGGCCGGCTCTGTGGTGGCGGGCGGGACCGTCCACGCGGCGAACGCACCGTCGCACGTGGCAGGCGCCCTCGGGGTGGGGGTATTTCTCGAAGAATGATTGGCAGCAGGTTTGGAGGAGAGGTCGAGGAGGGCATGGAGAAGTACGGAGAGGGGCCACGGGGGAACAAACAGCAGGAGGTCAGGGGGGGGAGAAGGAGGAGGAGGAGGCGGAGGAGGAGTAGTAGGGCCAGAACAGACACTGGACACTGGTGCGAAGTGCATCAAGCCAGACAACCTGCTGGTGCTGCCCCGCTCGTCACCTCCCTCAGGTAGGCGTACTGGTGGCCTCAAACTACCAGCTACGACTTCTACGACGTCCAAAGCTGAGACTGTCGCCCGTGCCGCTGTGGTCTAGTTTCGAACTTTCTCTGAGGCTACGTGCGAGGAGTAGGGCCAGAACACGATTCCTGGGACTCCAACCCTATAATTCGTAAGTGATGCAAATGGTTAAGACGCATGCGGCCCTTGCATGCTTTACTGAAACCCTTGCAATGTTTATGATGTTTGCAGATGAAGGCGAGAGCCACATGTTGAAAATCACCCGCTCTCCATCATGGTACCTGTCGCAGAACTCAGGCGGCAGGAGCACACATAGTGGGAACGTATCAGGCGGAACGCTTGGGCCGCCCTACCGACACGCCTGGGGATGCGACAAGGAGGATTTATTCAAACGGAAAAAGGGATCGAGAAGGAGGAGGATGAGGAGGGAGGCGGAGGAGGAGGTGGAGACGTCGGGGGAGAAGGCGAAGGCAAAGGCGGAGATGGGGAGGACGAGGAGGAGATGGATGATGTGGAAGAGGGGGAGGAGGAGGACCAGCAGAAACCCAATAATCATCAACGATGTGCAGTGCCGTTTTGAATACATGCTCCGCGTGCGGATCATGTATTAAACATACCGGGATTTAGTACTAAAAACAACTTAGTCATGTATTAAACGTATGTAGATATACATATATATATATATATATGTGTTAAAATCCCATGCGTTGAACATTGCCCTGTAGGAGTAAACCCTTCCTCCAAGCTCCCTCTTGATAGGCCCCTACAAGGATTCATTTCCACTGAGGGTACTTCTTCGTTGGAAGACAACTGTTTGAAGACCCTGAAGCATGCCAAAACAGTATTCTCGGGACTCCAACGCCACGGACCAACCTGACTGTTGCGTTTTGACGGTTCTGAATATTGCCAGAACGTCATTCTTGGGACTCCAACACCGCGAACCAACGTAATTGTTGCACCCTCATAATGATTCTGAATCTCTCCGGAACACTATATCTGGTACGCTGACCATCAGAATCCGCGACTTTTTTGCAATGGTTTAAAAGGAATGCGCGGCGCTAAGGCGAGAATCACGTTTTGCAAAGGAACCGCCCTCACTCCGTCAAATCTTTGCAAATATTTAACGCGGATGTGCGCGGCGCTAAGCGAGAGCCACACTTTGAAAACGGCACTCCCGCCATCTGCGAAATGATTGCCAATAGTCAAGTTTCAGGGCCATAAGTGGTGAGGAAGCCTCAGGCGAATTGCCCAGACCGCCCTATCGACCGGCCTCGGGATGCAACAGGGAAAAGTTTTGTACCAGCACAAGGAATGGAGGAGGAGGAGGAGGAGGAGGAGGAGGAGGACAAACGGAACTTAGTTTGCAGCGCGCAGCCTTCACATACCTAGGGATACCTCAACATATACTCGCATCTGCCTCTTCGTTCCCCCTCCCTTTATACTGTCTTCTACCGCTCCAGGGCCACTTTTCGGGACCCCTAGTCCACTGGACAGGTCGAGATACATTTGCTTGACAGGTCAGCCTCTCAGGCAAGCCTGAACACATGCTTTCAGCCTCTAAGACCAACACACAGGCCAGCCAATCTGGCCAACCCACCAGTATGGCCCCTTCAGGTACCATGGGTTCGTGCTAAGCCCAGAAAGAACGGACAAGCCGCACGGGGGTTCTAGGTCCATGGAGGTCTGGGGTGAACCGTAAAACTTTTGGCGGCGACCCAAGGACCGCCTCGCTTGCTTTGTGTGTAAAAAATCCAACTGGAGTGCTCAATCGTCGCACCGCAGTGCAGCAGCTTCCGCAGCACAGTGCCCTACTCAGTACTCAGTGCACACTGCCTACTCTCAGCTGGACGTTGTGGGATGGAGGGTGCTGCGAGGGGGTGGAGGTAAGGACGGATAGTGTAGCGTTGCACGCCACTTTTTTGTCGCAGGGTATCCGCTCCAACAGCCAGCGTTCGAGCACCAATTAGTCGCTGATTGTACAAGCTTTGCTTTCCCCTTCCCCAGTTGGATCTACTGTGCTCCTTCCCTCCCCACACCGCCTCAGCTTTCACAAGGGTAGCAGCCCATGTACTGCACGGCGCACTTCTCTCTTCACCTTCAGGGTAGCAGCCCACGGATTGCAAGTCGATTGGCCGGCCGTTGCAGCACGAGTCAGCCAGGCGTAGCACAGCAAGTTTCGACGGCACCAAGTATTCACCCGTACTACACTCTGATTTGCCATTCTTACCTGCTCAACTCTGCCTACCGCGCCCCGCCACTCACGTCAAGGGGACTTGTGGGGACGGGGGAGGTATGTTGGGGCGGAGGTCAGGACGGTTACTTTGGCGTCGATCGCCTCGTTTTCTCTTTGTGTATATATATATACAGATTGAGTGAGTGGGCCGAACGGTCATTCATTGTCTTTGGGTGCGTGGCTGAAGTGAGAATCCGTGGTGAAGGTTCGGCTTGTTGAGTTGTTGTTGTCGTCGTCGTCGTCGTCGTTGGTGTTGTCGTTGTTGTTGTTGCTGCTGTCGTTGTTGTTGTCGTTGTTGTTGTCCGTTGTCGTCGTCCCTCACCCGCGGCCCACCCGGGACACACCCCGCGACCCACCCCGCGACCCACCCCGCGACCCACCCCGCGACCCACCCCGCGACCCACCCTGCGACCCACCCGCGACCCACCCCGCGACCCACCCGCGACCCACCCCGCGACCCACCCGCGACCCACCCGCGACCCATCCGCGACCCACCCGCGACCCACCCGCTGCCCAACCGCGACCCACCCCGCGACCCATCCGCGACCCACTTGCGATCCACCCGCGACCCATTGCGACCCACCCGCGACCCACCCCGCGACCCACCCGCGACCCACACGCGACCGGTCCACATTGATTTAAAGAACAAATCGGCGCTTGCGGGGCGGGCTCGTTGTATAAGTTGCGCTCCAGAGACGCAGACTGCTGACGTCCCCACCGCCCCCTCACTCTTATCCGCATCTGCGGGGTTCTACGTGTGTGTATCTATATCTATGTATATGTATATATATATATATAAATACAGCTTACAGCTTATATCTATACAGCCTACAAATTCCTCACGACCAACTTACAGCTGACTTGTCCACCGTCGTTCCCCCTTTATCCTATCAGTAACCTGGCCCCTCCTCGCTATGCCTGTCTCCGCCTTCGCACGGGTAGCAGCCAAAGAATTGCACGTTATTGATTGTTTTATCTCCTACACAGGGGTAGCAGCCCAAAGGTTGCAAGCTCTTATGACCAGCCGCTACAGTACGAGCCATCCGGGCGTAGCACAGCCAGTATTCGAAGGCAGTAAGTACCCACACATACTGCACTCTGATTTGCAATCTTATCCGTTCAACTCGGCCTACCGCGTTCGCCATTAACTCAAGGGGACTTGTGGGGAGGTAAGGACGGCTACCTTGGCGTCGACCGCAATAGTTTTCCAACGGCCAATTTGCAGCTGACTTTCCACAGTTGTTTTCCCTTCTCCTACTAGTGCCTGGTCCCTCCTCACTATGCCTGTCTCCGCCTTCACACGGGTAGCAACCCAAGGATTGCACGTTATTGTTTGTCGTGCCTCCTATACAGGGGTATCAGCCGAAGGAATGCAAGCTCCACTGTCCAGCCGTTACAGTACGCGCCAACCAGGCAGCACCACCAGTCTCGAAAACAGTAGCTCTTACATTTGTTGCAGTTTGAATTCCGATGTTAAGCATGACAGTCTCCGTCATTAATTCACTGTTCAGCACTTGCTTGTATATCTGTTCCTGTACTCCCTGTGCGCCTCAGGGGCAGTATGTACCCATGATGCCTGGGGCGGGATTATACTTAGGTGGTTTTAGGGGGGTGCATTACACCTTAAGGTACGTGCTGACACTTTGTACTTGGCGGGCGCCTACTCTTACATTATCATCGTCGCAGCTCGTTGTTTATGTTTTTTTTTCCGCGGCGCTCGCCGGGTACTTCGCGCGCCACGTCGGGCCTCCGCGTCAGTTGTCGCACGTGTTCAAGACCGCCACATGCTATTGAATTCGGTCCGAACAACGTCAAAAGGAGGAGGAGGAGGAGGAGGAGGAGGAGGAGGAGGAGAAGGAGGAGGAGGAGGAGGGGGGGGGCAGGGGCCTTTGCTTCATGGCCATATTTAGGTCATCCCCCATTACCACCGGCCCGAAAGGTCCGTAACCCCATGAAGGCAGGAGAGGGGTGCGGTGTCAAGGGGTGTGGTCCGACGGGGACAGGACGGGGCCAGGACGAGATTCCTCCGTGGACGCCCCTGACTCGCGTCCCAGACATGCTCGTGTCGTGATAAATCAGGACGACAGGTTTTTGGCCGTTTTCGGCCCCAGAAGGCCCTCGCCGGACCCTGGGCCCGTAAACAAAGCGATTCGGGATGAAACCATTGCCTTGGGGAAAGTGCCGGGATTTCTGAGGACCGCGTATATTGAACAAGTCACATGTTTGGGGGGAGTCTGACGGGGCCAGGACGAGGACAAATCTGTTCCAGGGCGCTTCGGAACGCTCTCATAGCGTTCCGTGGCGCTTTGAGAAGGCCGCGGCGCCCGAAACATCGCCAGATCTCAGAGATTCCCGATTTATCCTCACTCGGTTATATCCTCGTCCTGGCTTCGTCCTATGTGGTGCCAATGTTGAGTCTGGCGATGTTACAGTCGGACCGAGGTACCAGATCGAGGTCGGCTCGGGGAGGGTGCCCTAATGTTCACCGTGCTTGTTGAATGCTCTTGTGCGTCCTGGCGGAGGGCCCCCTCGAGTGTTCTCCAGTTTTTGCCAGCGCAGGGTCTTATGTTCTTGAAGTGAAGGATGTATTTCTTCCCTACGTCCGACCGTGTTATCTATCGTCGCCATTCCCACGACTGGCACACCACACCGCTTTATGCCACACCCCCTTCCGACCTCCAAGAACACAACCCTCCCTCCGCACAGGCGGTGAAAACGGCTTGGGGCCTCGGGCGCGATTGTCTCGAGCAGCCGGGGCAGTTTAGCAGGGGGTGGCAAGCTAATAGCGCCCGCGCCATATTTGGTATCCTTCCCCTCCCACCCATCCCTTCCCATTACGCCGCTGTGTTCTTTGGTCCTAGGGGAAGGCGGATGAGGTGAAAGGAGGGGGGCGACAATGATGAGGAAGGGCTCGGATCCAGAATAGAGGCCCGCGCAGAGACGAGAGCGACTTTCTGAACGTCGGGAGCAAAGCTCCGATCCGAAGTGAAGGCCCAATGCTGCAGCGGGAACAGCATTCTGGAGGGACCGCTAGTTTCCAGAGCCGAGCAGCACACGCGGAATACCAGGTCGGCACGGCCCTGTCTGCAAAGCACCCTGCGCGGCGGGGGTCGCACTGTGAGGAGGCGGCGGCGGAGAGGACGCGCAGGAGGGCCGAGGCTCCTCTGCTGCTGGGCAGGGGGAGGCGCAGGGCTCGGGCCTCCCGCCCTCGAGCCTCCCTCCTCGAGCCTCTTTTCCTCCTCCTCCTCCTCCTCCTCCTCCTCCTCCTCCTCCTCCTCCTCCTCCTCCTCCCTCTTCTCCCTTCTCTTTTTCCTTCTCCTCCTCCTCCTCCACTTCCTCCACCTCCTCCTCCTCCTCCTCCTCCTCCTCCTCCTCCCGGTCCGCCGGGCCCCCCCCTCCGCGAGGCTCGGACAGGCCCTTCTCGGAGCTGAAGGCCACGAGGCTGGCGCACACGGTGCACCTCGGGCGCCACCGCGCCATCAACCTGGCGGCCGGCGCCGCCGCTCTGCCGCTGGAGGCCGCCGCCTCCTATTAGGGGGGGGGGGGGGAGGCAGCAGCTGCCAGGAGGGGGAGCCAACAAAAACACAGGTATTATTATTATTATTATCATCATCATCATTATCATTATCATTATCATTACTACTATTATTATTATTGTTGAACATTCCTCCTGTAGAGGGCCACGCCCGGGATCAAATATGGGAAAGTATGTGGGAAGTGGGGGTCCTCCTCGGGGGGGGGGGCAGGAGCTGCCAGCAGGGGAAGCAGACACACAGGCGCACCAGGAACCGACGATTCTCGGGAAGGTATGGGAAAGCATGGGAGGGGGGGGGGGGAGAAGACGAGCACCCAGAGATGTGTGTCTGTCTGTTTGTGTGTCCCTGGGTCCCTCCGAGCTGGCTCGTGCTATCTGGCCCGCCCGTCACGTCCAGTGGGCTCCTCGCCGGGCGCCTCCGCGTAGTGTCACCCTCGGTATGTTTCAAGCCACACTGATTGTTTTCCGGATGACCTGTGTCGCCTCCTTGCGGACCGTGGTTCTGTTCTGTTCTTCGGGTGCGGGCAGGACCACGGACACCCTGAGATGTCATCATGTTCACAGCGGACCTCGACGTCGGAGAAGGAACAGCTCCCCATGCTGCTATACCTCCCTCGTTTTCCCCCTTGTGGCCTCCTGGGTGGCCATCGTCGCCACCGCCGGATTCACTTCGAAGTTCGGGCCAGAGCGCACCCCGGGAGAGGGCCGGGAAACGGCGGTGTCGGTACCTGTTGGTTCCCCGAGAGCGGGGCACATGTCCAGGTGCCTGGCGTACCGTGCCCCTGGGCTGCGATCCCATGGATGCAGCGAGGTTGTGCCGCGGATGTCCCGCGCGGAAGGCATCCCTGCGGCCGGGTATCTGCGGGGTCGCGCCCTGGAGTCCAGGCCGCGGGGCGTGGATGCGAACACGTTCGCCGCCTCTGATTTTAGAGGGGAGAAGAGGCTGAAACCGTTATCCTTCCCTCGTCGTCACGGCTGCATTCGCCTCGACCTTTTGGTCATGACGCGTCCTCGGTGGCCCCATCCTCCCTCCTCCCGTTCCTGCGTGGGTGGTCCTTCCTTGGTACCCCTCCTCGCACCACCTCCCTTCGTCTACGTCTGTCCTCGCTCCTCCATGCTCGTTTTGTATTCGCCATCCTTCTATCCTCCTCCTCCAGCCCTCCTCGTCTACCTTCATTCGTGCGTTTTGCTCCATCCCTCCTCCGCCTACCGTTCTCCCTCCTTCATCTCGCCTCTTTGCAAGTGGCCGTCTCTTGTCACCAACGGAGGCCTTCAGCGAGGCGCTCCGAGTCAGAATCGAAGCACCACAGGAAACAGTATATTCCATAAGGATTCTATATCGAAGACTCCTACGGCGAATCACCGCCGCCCCCTGCCTTCTAGAATCGCCCATGTGGCCGAGCGTTGTAGCAAGGGCTCTGCCAAGCTATCGGACCATGTGTTCCCCCAACCGTTGTGGAAGCCCTTCGGGGAACACTTGGGGGAGGATGGCGGGAAAGATTTGGAGGAGGCGGAGGAGGAGGTGGGGGAGGAGGAGGAGGAGGAGGAGGAGGAGGAAAAGTAAGAGGAGGAGGAGGACGAGGAGGAGGAGGAGGAGGAGGAGGGGGAGGAGGGGGCATCTTCGGCGCCTCTGGGCGCATTCTTGTGGCCTCCTGGGAGCTTCCTGAGAGCCTCTTGGAGGCATCTTGGGTGCCTCCTTGAGCCTCTTGAGGGCCTTTGGGGGCTTCTCGGGGGCCTCTTTGGCCGTCTTGGTGGGCTCCTGGCCCATCTGACGCCGTCGGAGGCCGTCTTGGGGGCCTCTTTGGGCAGATTTCGGTTCCTCTTGGGATGCTTCAGGGCTGTCTTGGAGGCCATCTTGGGCGCCTTGGAGGCCTCTCGGGCCGTCTTGGGGCCCTCTTGGGGCCATCTTGGGTGCCTATTGGGCCGTTCTGGGGCCATCCTGGAGGCCTCTTGGGCGATCTTGGGGCGATCTTTGGAGACTCTTCGGCTGTCTCGGGCCGTCGGTACGCCAAAAGAAGCAAATGCCAGCATTATTCAAACACCTAAGGCGAAACAATGATGTTGGCCTCTTCGGGCCTTCCTGGAGGCCCTCTTGGAGGCCTCCTGGGTCATACTGGGCCATCTTAGAGCCATCTTGGGCAGTCTTGGTGGGCTCCTGGCTTTCCTGGGCGTCTTAGACGCCTCTTGGGCCGTCTTTGGAACCCCTTGGGGCCCTCTTGTGGGCCTATTGGGCCGTTCTGGGGCCATCCTAGAGGCCTCTTGGGCGATCTTGGGGCGACCTTTGGAGGCTCTGGCTCTTGGGCCGTCTCGGGCCGTCGGTAGGCCGAAAATAAGCAAATGTCAAGCATACTCCAAATGGGAAAATCACTGATGTGGGCCTCTTCGGGCCTTCCCGTAGGCCCTCCTAGAGCCATCTTGGGCCATCTTAGAGGCATCTTGGGCCGTCCTGGTGGGCTCATGGCCCGTCTGGCGCCGCCGGAAACCGTCTTGGGGGCCTCTCTGGGCCGACTTGGGGCCCTCTTGGGGTTTCCAGGGCCGTCTTGGAGGCTCCCTTGAGCGTCTTAGGGGCCTCCTGGGCTGTCATTGGTGCCCTCTTGGGGCCGTCTTGAGGGCTTCGTAGGTAGTCCCGAGGCCATCTTGGAGGCCTCTTGGGCGCTCTGGGGGCGATCTTGGGGGCCGTTTGGGCCGTCGGAGGGCCGAACAGGAGCAAATGCCAAAATCCTCCGAAAACCCAAGGGAAGTCAATGATTTTAACCTCTTCGGTCCCTCTTGGAGGACCTCTCGGAGGCCTCTTTCTCTTGGGCCGTCTTGGAGGTCTCTTGGGCACATCTTGGGCAGTCTTGGGCCGTCTTGGAGGCTGCTTGGGCGGACTTGGAAGTATCTTGGACCCTCTTGGGTCGTCTTGGAGGCCATCTTGGCCATCTTGGAGGCCATCTTGGAGCAGTGTGGAGCAGGAAGAACCTTTGCAATCGGGTCTTGCGATCCCGTCTGGGTCCTTCCGGGTGGCCGGCGGGCTGGGTCGGAGCCCCAGGAGAGAGTTCTGTTGGAAATAGAACCAAAACCACGACCGAAAGGATCCAGCATGCCAGGCACCCTTGTGATGAATCAACAGGGGGCGGCGGATGAAATGGTCTTCGGCCCAGCCCGCCACCATGCCAGGGTCGTGGGTACCAAGCCTGCTGTATCTTCGTTGGGAACTCGTGGGCGGCCTGGGGCCTCTTGGAGGCAGTTTAGAGACCTCTTGGGGCGATTTTGGACCTATTTTGGGTCCTTTGGGGGCCTCTTGGGGCCCTCTTTGGGGTCTCTTGGGGCTTGGGCCTCTTTTTAGGGCTGTCCTGGGGCCCCCGTTGGCCTCTTTTTTATTTTTGGGCCGTCTTGGGGCCCTCTTTGAAGCCTCTTTTGTTTGTTTTCCCCACATCCTAAGTGGGGTTCTTGTTTTCTCTGGGCACCCTCCGCGCAGGATCTCTCCTCCTCCTCCTCCTCCTCCTCCTCCCTCTCCTCCTCCTCCTCCTCCTCCTCCTCCTCCTCCTCCTCTCTCTCACTCTCCCTCTCATCATCATCATCATCATCATCATCATCATCATCATCGTCACCACCCACCACCACCACCTCATCATCATCATCATCATCATCATCATCATCATCATCATCATCATCATCATCATCATCATCATCATCATCATCATCATCATCATCATCATCATCATCATCATCTTCATCTTCATCTTCATCTTCATCTTCATCATCATCCACAACCACCACCACAATTTGGAGGGAGTATCAAGCGGGAGCCTCGTCTTTGAGTGAATTGTGAGGAAGTCTCAGGCGGGAGTCCCCTCCTTATGGGTCCCGCATTTCATGTTGGCAATCCGAGCGGGTCATCGGCAACCTGTAACTGTCATTGCGAAGGCCTTACGACCGGTGCCGCCGACCCTGAATGGCGACGACGACGACGACGACGACGACGACGACGAGCGCTCTTGGGGGCCTCTTGGGGGTAGTTTGTGGGCCTCTTGGGAAGCTCTTAGGAGCCGCTTGGAAGCCTCGTGGGGGCCTCTTGGGGCTTCCTGGGGGTCTCTTGGAGGGGGCCTGGGACGTCTTGGAGGCTTCTTGGACGGTCGTGGGGCTATCTTGGGCGTTTTCGGCCGACTTTTGGGCGACTCAGGGCCACCTTGGGCCGTCTCGGGGGCCATCTTGGTCATTCGGACCTCATTTGGAGTGTTTTCGAAATTTCGAGGCCGCCCGAGGAAAAACGAATCTGCCCCCCACCCCCCTGGGACCCCCCCCGGGACCCCCCCTGGGACCCCCCCCCACCCCCCAGGGACCCCCCACCCCCCTCCCCAGGGGAAGGGATCAAAGGGAAGGGGCTTCCCATCTACTCGATCACGACACTGCTAGATTTTTCTTTCGCTCACGAGCTTGAGAAGGAAGCTGCAGGGAAAAGGGACGACGGAGGCGACGACCGACGGAGACGACGACTCGAACGCCCCTCGCACACGCCGACAGGGTCGGCGGATTTTTGTTGGGCTCCACAGGCTTGAATTTGAAAGAAATATCAAGCGGGAGCCTCGTCTGTGAGTGAATTGTGAGGAAGTCTCAAGTGGGAGCCCCCTCCTTTTGGGTCCCGCACTTCATGTTGGTAATCCGAGCGGGTCATCGGCAACGTGTAACTGTCGCCATTTTCGGGCTCCACAGGCCTGAATTTGGAGGAAGTATCAAGCCGGAGCTTCGTCTGTGAGTGAATTGTAAGGAAGACTCAGGCGGGGGCCCCCTCCCTCTGGGTCCCGATTTCATGTTGGTAATCCGGGCGGGTCATCGACAACTTATAACTGTCGTCACTTTTTGGGGTTCTCAGGCTTGAATTTGGAGGAAGTATCAAGCGGGAGCCTCGTATGTGAGTGAATTGTGAGGAAGTCTCAGGCGGGAACCCCCTGCTTATATCGGTCCCGCATTTCATGTTGGTAATCCGAGCGGGGAAATCAGGAACGTGTAACAGTCGCAATGTTTGGGCTCCTCAGGCCTGAATTTGGAGGAGGTATCAAGCGGGAGCCTCGTCTGTGAGTGAATTGTGAGGCAGTCTCAGGCGGGAGTCCCCTCCCTATGGGTCCCGCATTTCATGTTGGTAATCCGAGCATGTCATCGGCAACATGCAACTGTCGCCAGTTTTGGGCTCCTCAGGCTTGAATTTGGAGGAAGTATCAAGCGGGAGCCTCGTCTGTGAGTAAATAGTGAGGAAATCTCAGGCGGGAGCCCCTCCCTATGTGTCCCGCATTTCATGTTGGTAATCCGAGCGGGTCATCGGCAACTTGTAAGTGTCGTCACTTTTGGGCTCCCCAGGTTTGAGTTTGGAGGAAGTAGCAAGCGGGAGCCTCGTCTGTGAGTGAATTGTGAGGCAGTCTCAGGCGGGAGCCCCCTCCCTATGGGTCCCGCATTTCATGTTGGCAATCCGAGCGGTGTCGGCAACCTGCAATTATCCGGACGGAAGGACCCCACATGATAATATGTGCGAACTTGCTCTTACCCTTTTCTTCGCCCTGACAGACACTCTCCTCTCGCCCGCCGTTCTGCCCTCACCTATTCCCCCTCCTTCTATTTCTCCTCCTCCTCCTCCTCCTCCTCCTCCTCCTCCTCCTCCTCCTCCTTCTCCACTTACGAGCAGGAGTTCGCGTGGCAGGGCTCGGGGTCGCACGCCGTGCGCCGTTCGGGTTTCATTCTGACTCACGCGTCCTACCTCACTTCCATGCTGTCGTAGGGCCAGACGCTCCGCAAGGGCGTCGCCATCGACTGCGCGAGGGACGAGGACGCTGGCCGCACGGGCACGTCGGACGACCAGTGGTGTCTGCACCTCTACGTCATGCTCTCCCGCGCCACGTGCATGCGGAACATGCTGATCCTGCGGCCGCCCTCGCGCGAGTTTTTGGAGCGCGGGCCGACGGTTTCCTTGCGGAAGGCGCTCCTGGAGTTCGACAAGAGAGCGGAGACGTCCAGGCATGAGGCCGAGCAGCTCGCCGCAGAGCTTGATCTCATGCTGCCTCCCGCCCGAGCGCGGCTGCGCCCCGCTCGAAGCCCGCGGGTTTGTCCCAACGGCTTGGCCCGCGGGGCTGTCCCGACCGCTTGCCCCCGCGCTCCAGCGGCCCGCGGGGTTGTCCCGCAGGCTCCGCGAACCAGCCGTCGGGTAATACGCGCGCTCTGGCCGCGGCGGCGACGGCGCCGAGGGACATCGATTTGCTTGCCCCGACCAGGGGGAAGGGGAGGAACGCGCGGAGAAAACGCAGGGGAAGGGCGAGGACGGGGAAAAGGGTAGGAATGGGGTGATGCTGAGGAGGAAGTGGAGAAAGTGGAGGAGGATGATAAATAGAAGGAGGGGGAGTAGGTGAGGGCAGAGCGGCGGGCGAGAGGAGAGTGTCCGTCGGGGCGAGGAAGACAAAGGGTAAGGGCAAGCTAAACATAGTATCGTGCGGGGTCTTCCGTCGGAGTAATTTGATCAGCTTGGGAACATATTGGGCCGTCTCGGAGCGTCGGGAAACCGTAAAGGCGAGAACGTCAACATCCTTCAAACATCTCAGGTCAATCAATGACGCGTACCTATTGGGAGCACTCTTGGAGGCCTCTTGGAGCGTCTTGGAGGTCACTTGGACCATACCATGACCATCTTAGGCGTATTGGAGCGATATTTCGGCGACCGGGGGCCCTCTTGGGCCGTCTTGGCGGCCTGTTGGAGCCGTCTGGGCCCGTCTTGGGGCCGACGCGGGGGGGGCCAGGGGAGCCGCGACAAGCCCTGGCGAATTTGAAAATTCTGATCCCCGTTACCCGTTAAGAATCTCCGCAGAACTGACCCCCCCGCTCCTGGCCCTCCCTTCGGCTCGGGGAGCCCGTTGCGCGGACGACGCGCGCAGGTGCTGGAGCGCGCGGAGAAGCAGTTCGTCGAGACGGACGGCAGCGGCATGAGCGTGACGGAGATGGGCTACAGGACCAAGCCGTTCCACGCCATCATGGAGAGGGCCGAGAGCAGCTTGAGGACGTTCCTCGGCCGCACGTAACTGTGACCCTTCGCCACAGTGACCATTGGTGCTTTGGTTCTGGCCCAAAGGGGGGCTCTCGGGGCGTCTCGGGCCGTCGGTAGGCCGAAAAGAAGCAAATGCCCGAATCGCTCAAAAACCTGAGGGGAATCAATGAATTTGGCTTTTTCGGGCCGTCCTGGAGGCCCTCTTGAAGGCCTGTTGGGTCGTCTTGGGGTCGGGTAGTGCGTTGTTCTGCGGGATTAAGCTCGACCTCGCGTCGGCGCACGCAGCGTGGGGTGTCGCGCTCGCACTTGGAGCGCGCCAGGGTTTGCCCCCCTTCGCAAATCGACCGCAGCAACTGCGCGGCACATCCTACAGCGCACGCTGGTTTCCCGAGGGGGGAGGGGTCCGTCGACTGGGCGGCGCTCTTTCTTCCCCAGGACCGGTCTCGAATTCCAGCCCGAATCCCCAGTTGCCCGATTTGAATAAATTCGAGTATCGAAGGCGCTTACGGCGATTCACCGCCGCTCCCGCCTTTTCAGAAACGCCTATGTGGCCGACAGCTGGGTTAGACCTTGGCCAAGCTATCGGGCCAGTTGTTCCCCGAGTCGGTTTGGAAATCCCACGGGGAATGCGTGGTGGAGAGAGAGGTTTGAGTTAAAACGAATATGTAAACTGTCAGCTTGTGATTAACAAATGACCCCCCCGGGGCTCATGAACTGACCCCGCGGGGCGCGAAACATATTGGTTTAAATCACGCGCGCCTGGGGGTCGTCGCTGGCGCCGCCGAAGGGATCGTGTTCCCCCCCTGCATGACAGCCTCGAAACGAGTGTCTCTTTCGTACAGAAGTTATTATAGGGGTCGTACACATCCGAAACGCAATTTTTATCCCCCTCTCAAGCGTCGTCGTTGTCGTCGTCGTCCTTGTCGTCGTCGCCATCGTCGTCGTCGTCGTGGTGGCGTTGTCGTTGTCGCTTTCGTCGTCGTCGTCGCGGTCGTTGTCGTCGTCGTCGAGTACAGGCCTGCGCAGCAGTAGCCCCCCGCACCGGGCATCCGCAGTGCGTCGTCGTCGCCGCCGCCGTCGTCGTCGTGGTCGTCGTCGTCGTCGTTTTCGTCGTGTCGTGTCGTGTCGTGTCGTGTCGTCGGCGTCGTCGACCACAGCGGGCCTGCGCGCCCCCCCCCCCCGCCCCCTATAGGGCAACCGCAGTGCGTCGTCGTCGTCGCCTCCGTCGCCGTCTGCCGTCCGCCGTCCGTTGTCCTTATCGTGCCGTTTGGGGGCGTGTTGGGGCCTCCTGGTCACCTCTGGGGGGAGTCATGGGGCGGAAGGCTAGGATGCTCAATTCGTGTTCTTTCTCTCGGGCCTGTCTTTGGACCCATTGGGCAGTCTTGGGGCGCCTCCTTTGGGCCGTCCTGGGGCGATGTCATGCCGTTTTGGGGCCCTCTTGGAGGCCTCTTGGACCGTTTTGGGGTGGTCTTGGGGGCCTGTTGGACCGTTCTGGAGCAGCGGAAAGCAGAACATGCGAGATCGCCCACACCTGTGAACGCAATGTATGGGAAATCCTTGATGTTCGCTTGTGGGGACCTCTTGGGAGGCCTCTTGGGGCCTCTTGATGCCATCCTGGGCGTTTTGGAACGATCTTTCGGCGACTCGGGGCCCTCTTGGATCGTCGTGGCGGCCTCTTGGGGCCCAAGCAGCGGGAAGCCCCGAGAGAATTGAAAGCGAAGCGTCCGCACCCCTTATATAATCTTCAGGAGCGAGGAGTGAGGTTCAGAGGATTGGGCAAAGTACCTGAGGGCACGCCCACTCCGTGCCCGAGGGCACGGTCCTGGATGTTTCAATATTTTGCACTTGGGGGTTCTTAGTTCGTTTCTATGGAACTCTTTCGTGGTGCCATTGTTGGCGCCCGACTCGAATTGGAGGGATTCCGCGATGGCCCGCTGGCGCTGACGAATTTTCGAGGCACGGTCTGCCGATGGTTCATGCGGTGCGACATCAGCGGGCCCCCACGGGCGCCCCAAAACGCGCACCGAAGGTCACTCTAGTCTGGGGTCATGTTTGCGTGCAGCAGAGTTCTTGGGCCAGGGGCAGCGGTAGACCAATAGGAGAGGAGAACTAGGCTCGCGGGGAACGCGTCGTCGCCGATCGGGGCTGGAGAACGTGCGGTTTCGCAATCGCGGGCCCGTTGCAGATCTATCGGCGATGTATCGCCGCCTCTCCCTTGAGCAGGCTCCACCACCATCTTTCCCCGTCAGAAGAAGAGGAGAAGGAGGAGGAGGAGGAAGAAGAAGAAGAAGACGAGCAATAACATGGAAACGAAGAAGACGAATCATAAAAAGAAAAGAAGAAGAGGAAGAGGAGGAGGAGGAGGAGCAGGAGTGGTCCGAGGACGCTGCTGGAAATCCCGGACACTCACGAGGTGCATTTCTTCAACGGGGGCGCGACGCTACAGTTTTCCGCCATCCCCCTCAACCTGCTCGGCGGGGAGAACGAGGCTGTCCACCCTCCTTTGTCTGTACTTGCCTCCTCGTCCTCTTCCTGCCTCTCCAGTTCTTATGTACTTGCCTCGTCCACTCCCCCTCCTTTTACTCCTCGTTCTGTCTCACATTGGTGACAAAGATATGGTCTCCGCGCGCTCAGCCTTCAATCCCACCAGACAAGTCAGGACTCACCCACTCCATTCCTCCTTTGCCCTTGTTCCCGCTACGTCCGCTACAGGGGAAGAGCGCGAACTATCTGATGAGCGGCCACTGGAGCGAGAAGGCACGCAACGAGGCAAGGCTGTTCGGGAGGGTGACGGAGGTTGGCGTGGACCCGCAGGGGCTCTACTTCGATCTGCCCTCCTCGAGCACGTGGGAGTTGGACCGGGACGCGGCGTATTTTCACTACACCTCGGCCGACACCAGGCAGGGCCTGGAGGTCCGGGAGTTCGACTTCGACGCCGTGCCGCGGGGCATGCCGGTGTGCTGCGACGCGTCGGCCAACCTCGGCAGTTATCCGCTGGACGTTTCCAAGTACGGGGTGCTGTACGCGGCGTCCCACAAGAATTTCTCCACCTCCGGGATCTGCTACACGATCATCCGGAAGGACCTGATCTCCGAGCGCGCGCAGATGAAGGCGATGCCTACCATGTGCAATTGGGTGACCTTCCAGAATGCGCCCAACAAGATCTACAACGTCCCCGTGCTGGTCTCCGTGTGGCTCGGCGCGCTGAACACGGAGTGGATGATCGAGCGGGGAGGGACGCCGTATTTCGAGGACTTGGCGATCCGCCGATCAAATTTGCTCTACGACCTGATCGACAATTCCCACGGCTTCTACCGCACCTTCGTAAACAACCAGAAGATGCGTTCCCGGATGCAGGTGGGATTTTCATTTCCTTGCCCGTACGACGACGACGACGACGACGACGACGACGACGACGACGACGGCGACACGAGACGGACGGAACGACGGACAGTCGGACGTGCGGCCACGGGGGGAAGTGATGTGGGACGTGGAGAGCGACTGCCACACTCAGCACCTGCCGGGCGCGGCGAGAGGCCGTTTCGGGGCCCCTCCAGGCCCCTCCGGGGCGACGTTGCTGTACCCCCCGCTCAGCCCGCGTTACGTTTATGACCGTCCCCGCCCCAGTGCCGTCCATCCGAGACGGGCTGGCCATGCCCGGGAGGGGATGACGGCAGGAACGGGGGAGCCCGCGATGGAAAACCTCCTCCTCCTCCTCCTCCTCCTCCTCCTCCTCCTCCTCCTCCTCCTCCTCCTCCTCCCCCTCCCTCCCTCTCCTCCTCATCCTCCTCATCTTCTTCCTCCTCCTCATCTTCCTCCTCCTCCTCCTCCTCCTCCTCCTCTGCCTCCGTCTCCTCGAGCAGATGCAGCCGCCGCGGAGCTCGGCTCGCCGGGGCCTCTGTCAGTGGCAAGGGCAGGAGGAGGGTCGGGTGTCCTCCTCCTCCTCCTCCTCCTCCTCCTCCTCCTCCTCCTCCCTCCCCCTCCTCCTCCTCCTCCTCCTCCTCCTCCTCCTCCGTGGTGACGGACCGCGCGGTGACCTCGAAATCCCAAGAGGTCTCACCGCGCGATCTGTCACCGCACGGTCTTTGGGGCCCTGGATGTTCCGGGGTGGTCGCCCGAGGCGTCCACGGAGAACGACCCCGAGTCCCGAAACCGGGCGTTGGCCCTGAATCCCCATTGATTCAACACGCGGTGTGGTCACCACACTCTCTGGGGGCCCCCGAGCGGGGGAGGATGAGAAGGAGCGGGGACATGGAGAGGGAGAGGGAGAGGGGTATACATATATATATATATATATATATATATACATATATATATATACATGTATATATATATAGAGAGAGAGGGAACGAGAAAGAGAGAGAGAGAGAGAGCGAGAGAGAGGGAAGGCAAGCTAAGTGCTCTCGCGCCAGATCTGACATCCTACTCCTCCATCCATCCCTTCCCATTGTGTTGCTGTGTTTCTCTATCCGCGGTCGCATGTCAAAGCGGACCTGGAACTCCCCAAAAGACCCCACCGTGGTATGCGCAATGGGAAAGGGGGTGTTGAGCAGCAGGAAAAAGGATAAGGAGGAGGAGGAGGAAGGAGCAGGAGGACGAGGACGAACAGCAGCAGCAGGAATTGGAGTGGAAAAGCGGGAGGAGCATGAGGGCCATTGGAAGGATGAGGCCCACGCTGCAGCGGGAGCACCATCTTGAAACACAGAATAGCAATCGAACGAAACAAGCGCGCGGACAGAGACAAATGCCTGCGTATCAGAGCAGCGGAGAATATGCCGTGCAAGCTCGTGGAGCGCGGTAGGGGAGGGAGGGAAAAGGGATGGGAGAGGAGCGGAGGGAGGAAGGAACTGGGCCAAAACTGAAAACATGTTGCTTCCTGGCAGGACGCGCGGGGAATGCAGTCTTCACTCATGGTGATTCTCCTCTGTGCTGGCGGTAATGTCGATCAAATTGCGCACGAACGATTTCCACCGTAGTGGGGCCGCCACTGAGGAGAAGGAGGAGGAGGAGGAGGTGGAGGAGGTGGAAGAGGAGGAGGAGGAGGTGGAGGAGGAGGTGGAGGAGGAGGAGGAGGAGGAGGAGGAGGAGGAGAGAGAGGAGGGGAGACGTGCGCGAGACAGGGGCTCCTCAGTGTGTGCAGTTCTGCTGCCCACCTCCTGCTCGGGCCGCCCGCCTGGCGCTCGCTTCATTTCGGTACACCCCTCTCGGGGATCGTGGCCCTGGCCCCACAGGGAGCTTAACCGAAGCTCCATTTCCGAACACCTCTCTCGAGGATTGCGGCCCTGGTCCGACATGTAGCTCCACCGGATCTTCATTTCGGCACACCTCTCTCGAGGATCGTGGCCCTGGCCCCACAGGGAGCTCCACCGAAGCTTCATTCCCTACCTAGGCTCTGCCTAGAAGGGTTCTTACTTTAGAGCTTCAAGGGGCCGGGCAGTGGAACGCGCCCTGGGCGGTTCCCCCAGGATCCGCCCCGCGGTTCCCCCAGTTGCGTCCCCTCAGCTTAGCGTTGCTTATCTCATCTTATCTTGGCTTATTTCATCTTAGCTTAGCGGGGCTTCTTTCCCTACCTAGGCTCTGCCTAGAAGGGTTCTTACTTTATATCTCAAAGGGGCCGGGCAGTGGAACGCGCCCCAGGCGGTTCCCCCATGATCCGCCCCGCGGTTCCCCCAGTTGCGTCACCTTAGCTTAGCGTTGCTTATCTCATCTTAGCTTAGCCTGGCTTAGCTTAGCTTAGCTTAGCCTATCGTAGCTTAGCTTAGCTTAGCCTAGCCTAGCTTAGCTCAGCTTAGCGCAGCGCAGCATTAGCATAGCATAGCATAGCATAGCATAAGATATCATCTCATGTCATAGCATAGTGTAGCACAGCGCAGCATAGCATAGCGCAGCACATCATAGCATATCATACCATATCATACCATAGCATAGCGCAGCAGAGCATCGCACATCCGAGCATATCCTAGCTAAACGTAGCCTAGCACAGCGCAGCATAGCATAGCTTAGCACATCATAGCATAGCATAGCGCATCATACCATAGCATATCATAGCATATCATAGCATAGCGCAGCATTTCATGCCATAGCATAGCATAGCATAGCGCATCACATCATATTAAAACATCGCATATCATGACATAGCGCAGTATAACATATCATATCACTTAGCATAGCATAGCGCAGCATACCATAGCATAGCATACGCTGTACTATTACTACTACTATTACTACCGCTACTGCTACAACTGCGACGATGAGGAGAAGGAGGAGGACGGCGTTTACCGTTTCTACTAAGATTGCTCTCCTCGGGGCTCCAACTCCTAGGTAGGGTCGCTCTGGGATAATTCTAGCACGCATCTATCGAGGACCGTGGCCCGAATTCGGCACACACCTCTCGAGGATCGTGGCCCTGGCCCCACGCGGAGCTCCACCGATGCTTCATTTCGGCACACCCCTCTCAAGGATCGTGGGCTTGGCCCCACAGGGAGCTCCACCGAGGCTTCATTTCGGCACACCCCTCTCGGGGATAGTGGCCCTGGCCACACAGGGAGCCCCGACGAAGCTTCATTTCGGCACACCCCTCTCGAGGATCGCGGCCATGGCTCCACAAGGAGCTCCACCGAAACCGCATTTCGGCACACCCCTATCGAGGATCGCGGCCATGGCTCCACAGGGAGCTCCGCCGAAGCTTTATTTCGGCGCACCCCTTTCGAGGATCGTAGCCTTGGCCCCACAGGGAGCTCCACCGAAGCTTCATTTCGGAACACACCTCTCGAGGATCGTGGCCCTGGCCGCATAGGGAGCTCCAGCGAAACAACAGGTTGGCACACCCCTCTTGAGGACCGCTGCCCTGGCACCACAGGGAGTTTATCCGAAGTGTCATTTCGGCACGCCCCTCGCGAGGATCGTGGCCCTGGCCCCACAAGGAGCTCCACCGAAGCTTCATTTTGGCACGCCCCTCTCGAGGATCGTGGGCTTGGCCCCACAGGGAGCCCCACCGAAGCTTAATTTCGGCGCACACCTTTCGAGGATCGTGGCCCTGGACCCACAGGGAGCTCCACCGAAGCTCAATTTCGGCAAAGCCCTCTCGAGGATCGTGGCCCTGGTCCCACAAAGAACGCCACCGAATCTTCATTTCGGCACACCTATCTTGAGGATCGCGCCCTTGGCTACACAGGGAGCTCCCTGGCCCAACAGGGAGCTCCACCGAAGCTTGATTTCGGCACACATCTCTCGAGGATCGTGGCCCTGGCCCTACAGGGAGCTCCACCGAAACTCGATTTCGGCGTACCCCTCTCGAGGATCGTGGCCCTGGTCCCACAGGGAGCTCCACCGAAGCTTCATTTCGGCACACCCCTCTCGAGGACCGTGGCCCTGGCCCCACAGGGCGCTGGACCGACGCTTCATTTCAGCACACCCCTCTCGAGGATCGTGGCCTTTCCCACAGGGAGCTCCACCCAAGCTTCATTTCGGCACACCCCTCTCGAGGACCATGGCCCTGGCCCCACAGGGCGCTGGACCGACGCTTCATTTCAGCACACCCCTCTCGATGATCTTGGGCTTGGCCCCACAGGGAGCTCCACCGAAGCTTCATTTCGGCACACACCTCTCGAGGACCGTGGCCTTGGCCCAACAGGGAGCTCCACCGAAGCTTCTTTTCGGAACACCCCTCTCGAGGATCGAGGCCCTGGGTCTCGCAGGGAGCTCCACCGAAACCGCATTTCGGCACACCCCTCTCGACGACGACGGCTCGTAGACAACCCACAGCCCAACGGTAGACTGCTTGAAGACGACCGAAGCACGGCGAGATTCGGTGAGAACCTGATTTTGAAAAAGGAACAATCTGTGGTTAGGGCGGATAGGTCCCCCTCTGGGCCTTCTCCTGGTGCTGGTGTGGACCTCCACCTCGGGGCCTCGGCCTACAAGCCGCCTCCCCCTGGGATCCTCCTCCAGAGGCCCTTGAGCAGGCACCCCTCAGACGAGAGCACCGTTTTCAAACAGAACCGCTTGCATCAAATACTGCGCCTCCCCATGGTTCCCCCTCTGGGCATTCTCGTTGTGCTGGTCTGGACCTCCACCTCGGGGCCTCGGCCTACAAGCCGCCTCCCTCTGGGATCCTCTTCCGGAGGCCTTTAAGCAGGCACCCATCAGACGAGAGCACCGTTTTGAAAAAGGACCGCTTGCATCAAATACAGCGCCCCCCCCAATGGAACTTCCCTCTTGGCCTTCTGCTGGTTGTGGTGTGGACGTCCACCTCGGGGCCTCGGCCTACAAGCCCCCTCCCTCTGGGATCCTGGGTCCATCGCTAACAGGATTCTAATAGAGCTGGGCCCACCCGTAATAGGAGAGAGGAAGAGCTG